ACTTTTGTCCACATACTTTTGACCAAGCCGAGCAATTTTTTCTTTATTTCATCCTCAGTTTTTCCTTCTTCAAGTACCAGATTTAATCTTTTCTGTGTTGCATCTTCTTTCTTTTTTAAATGGTCTCTTCAAAATAGTCTGTAGAGCGACCAAGCACATAAATTAATCTTAAATGTTTTCAGACTGAATATGTTTCTCATCAACAAAATTGCTTCTAAATGTTTCTGGTGTCCAGTTCTTTCTGTTATTAGCCTTTAAATCTTCACTTATATCCTCGTTAATGAAATACTCAGACCTAAACTTTATGTAAGGTGCCTACGGTAAGCTATGTCCTTCAGTCTGAACACATCTTATTAACCTGCACTTCCAGCTCTGGCTTCATTTTGACTGGTCAGTGGTCCCAATGGAGAATGCAGTTATGAGCTTTACCTACAGCATTGAGGAGTGGGGCTTGTGTTAATGGGCCAGCTTACAATTGGAAACATTTCAGCTTAGGACAGAGAGCACCACTCCTCTGACAGAGATTCAATAATCACATAACAACTGCAGGAGCTACAACTACCAACTATCAAAGAAAGACATGTTGACGTGTTGTTGAAGGCAAAGGTGGATGGGTGGACTGCGGGGCAGGAAGGAGGGTTGAAGGAGATGGTTTGGTCTGGGTCACCTCTTCAGATGGTGGCATCATGGGGCAGTTGAGGCACTGCCACTTCGGATTTCCGGTTGGAGTAGCGCTGCATGTGGGGCAGCAGGGGGCCAGATGGTAACAGGCCTAGCAGCTCCCTGGATCTGCTTGGCAACCTCCGCCCCCACCGGCGACTACCATAACCGAGCTTGCGGCTTCGCCTCACTGCCTGGCCTAACAGCATGGCTGTGTGGGGCCACAGTGGGTCCGTGAAGCTAGAGATGCTGGACTCCTGAAGAGGGACACAGGACCTGCGCCTCAGTGCGCGTTCTCGGAAGATGTGAGAGGCGGCAAAGAGGTCGGGGTTAAGGCCGAAAGAGCCGCGGGTCAGCGAGATGCGGCCCTCCAGCGATGGCCCCAGCAGGCTGAGGCTAGTTCTGTCCGTGAACGAGTCAGTTCGGTCTTCGTAGCCAAGGTCAGCGGGCGCTGAGCACTGCTGCAGGGGCCAGCCTCCACGGCTCTTCCCCCCATTGTCCGCATTGCTTCCTCCCTCTCCGCCATCACGCTCTACCCTGACCGCTTCATCTTCCTCCTCTTGCTCCTCCTCTTCTTGCTCCTCCTCCTCCACCTCTGCTACCTCCTCCTCGTCCGCCACCTCTCCCTCCACCACACCCTCCTCCTCTTCCTCGGTGCTGGTGGGTGGTGGCGAGCGAGGGTCCCGCAAGAAGACCACTATGACAGTGATATTATCGCTAGAGCCCGCATCCCGGGCTGAGGCCACCAGCTTATGAGCTACCATGGTGGTGTCCCCAGCGTTCTCCTGGAGATGATCACTGACCACGCGCACCGCCTCATCTGGATTCACCGTGTCCCAGAAGCCATCGCAGGCCAGAATCAGGTAGTCTTCTGAACCATCCAATGGGAAGATGCCATGGTCTGCGTCGCCACAGATGTAGGGTTTGTGCTCAGAGTCACCTGTCAACACAGGTAACAGTTTAATCTGTGAGGATCTGCTCAGACTAAGGTAAAAACATCCAGGAATGAATCAGGAAAAGGAATCTAGTAGGAAATTATCTAAAATAATAACATTATATTTATAATAACTGCTTTCTAATAGTGGGATTAGCATATGTACATGTGCTGCTTTAAATGTTGGGGTGGGGTTGGGGTGGGGTGGGGGTGTTAAAGTTCTCTGTACTCTTACATTTAACACCCTACCTTAAATCTAACTCTGTTTTAGGGTTAAATTGTAACTTTAACCCGTGTTAGTTCTTGAAGGGATGTGAAAAAAAGAAGAGTGAACCGATACATTAGGGTTAGGTGCAACTTTTCCTTTCCCTCACTCTGCAGCTCTAAAACTAAGTCTGGTTCTCAAAAAGATAGCTGGATCAATTTTTCTGTAAGGAAGCTATTTTTGGCTGCTCCCTTATTCACAAAGGGTCACCACAAAAGGTAGCTCTGCATATTTGATTGGTCGATTTTTTTTACTTCCTGACTCAAAACCTCAAAGGGATTTGTCTGTATTCCTTGGTCTGAACCAGGGAGTCTTTTCCTTGCCAGGTAAACGTGTAAGCTGCTAAACTTGGATATGCTTTTACGGATGTGTTTTAATGTCATTTTATATTTGTTTTTTGTCTTTTCTGTAGCAAATGACTTCTGTCGTTCTTTTTGGATGAGCAGTTTTCAAGAAGGGTACCACCCACAACCTGCCCACAGTCTGCCCACAATTACACATATTTCTCTTTTCAAAAGAGAAACTTTATGATTAACTCAATGTGACACGTTTAAGGGTCATCTATGAAGCTACAAAAATGTATGAGAATTGTGCAGTAAAAAGAACGTGCATGAAAAGTTTACCTATCGCTCTGGATACAGACAAGCTGCCATTGACCCTCCACGTGCCGAACCAGATCACACAACCTCCGAGAGCCTCGATCCTCTGCTTCTCATCCTGCAGACACAAAAATGATTGGAATCATCTTGTGCTGCCATTCTGCAGCAGAAAGCTCAGTACTAAAGCACAATGCTTTGCCCGCCTCTGCTGTGCCCTTAAAATCTGAAATGCTGGTGCTGTTTCTAGATTAATGATGCTGGAAACAGGCTGGGATGTAGCAAGGAAGGAGGATGGTGTCCTGTGTTACTATTGTTGTTGCAGAATTAAACAAAGAAACACATGGTGAGCAATAATGGAGTGGAAATTTTGCGACGAATTACAATAATGAACAGGAAGTGGAAAGCTCATGAAGCACAAGTTTTCCTATATACAGATTTTTAAGGGAGTTCAGTTGTTTGACTACGACGTGCACCTTTCAGGTACTCAGCAGGCAGGTGGTATAATACTGCTCTCACATTTGGTTGTGAAATATAAAACTTTGGCAGAAATCACCCTAAAATATCACTAAATAACACATTATATCTCATTTGTTCTCATTTTTTTTAAAAAGAAAAAAAGAAGTGTAAATTAACAATGCGTTGTTTTATCTGAGTTTATTGGTGCCAGAATATTTTTTTGGCTGTAACTATTAATCTACGAAAGTTCCCACCGCCTGCCAACTGCTCAGAGAAAATAAATATTTTGCCACATAACGCCGTAAAATGGAAACTTGACGTTTTTACACTTCAGTACTTGTGCCGATTAAATCAACACGACACAGTAACAGGATCTTTACATAATGCAAGTGCAGATATGATTAATCTGAAATCCATCTAAGTCAAAATGCACCAACGTATAAAACAACTCTTTATTAAAGATGATAAATTATTGTTATTTGTCTTATCCTGGCCACTGTCTATTTGAGCAAGTTTACATCTGATTGACTGCCCCTCACAAACAGAAGGTCAGAACAGCAGGTAGGCGTGGCTGCTAACAGAGTTTCTACAATCCACAGAGAAATTCATAAAGGACTCATCATGTCTGAGGTATGAGGAGACTGAGTTATCTCACCTCTCTGTCTGGTTTATGTGGTTTCATCAGCTCCACCACCTGCCCTTTCCTGACCAGAATGACCTGGGAGTCTCCAAGCCAGGCCACGTACAACGTCCGGCCCCGCAGGAACGTCACCACCCCTGTTGTGCCGCAACGTAGGTTCTGCCAGACAGACACATGTCACAGTGTTCTCAAGAGCAGCTGCATCACCACAAATACTTTGAAACGAGCAGAAAAACATGTTGACAACATTGAGCTGTTTAGAAAGACACCTCTGTCTCATTCTTATTAAAATTGGACTAGCTGTTGGAATTATACTCATAGCATAAATATAATAAATAAATAGTGTTATTCACCATGAGTAAACTTAACAGTACTTCATAGTTTAGGAATACTGTGCAGTAAATACTACTAAATGGTTTCGTCCTTGGATTATGTGGTTACCTCTCGCGAGGCCTTCTTCACAAAGCGTTCGTCGGTGAGTTTGAAGGCTCTGCAGAGCGCCTCGCTGGGGTCCTGGCTGAAGGATTCCTGCCGGACTAAGTTCACGTGAAGGTGATTGGCTGCATAAATGGCAGCATCCACACCTCCATGACCGTCAAACACAGCAAAGAAAGCCTGCTCTTCCTGATCCTGGCAGACAGGAAAAAACGTGATTTTGTAGGCTGGACTGCATGGCGTGAAACTCCCATATCACAAAAACAAATTTCCACAGTTATCTATTTGGCATTAAACTTTTGATGTAGTCCCTAAATACAGTAAACTCAAATGACTTAATGGCCTAATTGGTCAAATGATGTAATGTAATATTGAGACTGCAAACATCACAATTTGGATATATCAAAAGTTACTATATGCAATATTTGCTAAGGTATTCTATATAAAATATACGGAATTACAGGTACTTAAATGCCACATATGGGTCCTTTTAGCATGATGGTGGGTAGTTGCTAGGCACCATGATGATGAAATAAGATCCTTCAGGGGCCCAAGATGTACCTGGCTGCTCAAGGTCTGATCATGTAGGAGGAGTTTAGGGGCAACCAAACAAAGATAGAGAGAAGCTGGGTGTTTAATATGATTTGTGCCAAATCGACTGCATTCTTTCTTATTGCCAGCAGGAGGCGACTCCTCTGATTTCAGAAAACATTTTACTATGGAGTTTATGGTCCTAATGTAAGTTTTCGAGCCCTATTTCATCAATAAATAATTAAATAAAAATAGCTTGAAAAGGGTTGTTGTTGCTAACAGAGTACAAAAATAGAAACAAGCGGCCAGAAATGATGTATTAATGTGATCACATTAATGTGATTAATGTGATCAAACATTAATATGTATTAATGTTGTGTTGATCAAACATTAATATGTATTAATGTTTGATCTGATATTGTCATGTTAGTGTTGTTTCTGGATAAACAAAAGTAACGTTGGTCCAGGTTCAACATTGTAGTGATGTCATTGTTTTGCGATGTGGAAAGACCGTCCCACCACACACAAAACCGTAACCCTGATCTCATAACCCTAACCTATAGCCCCGTAATCCTAAACCTAACCTAACCTTTTCCTAAGTGGACATCAGCAAGTTTTTTTGCAAGTCGCAAAGCTATGACATCCCAACAATGCGATTGGTCAGTTCCAGTGTTGTGGAATCATTATTGTGTTGATCCAGGATAGTGTATTAATTAGGTTATGATTGACCGTAATTCTAGCCCATGGCTCATGAGCTGCAGTTTGCTGACCTCTGGCCTAACGTAACATATTTAATGCATGAGTTTTTGTGTGTTTTTGACACTAACCCCTACCTGAATATTGAAGAGTGTGTTGAAGTCAGGGATGATGATGTGCTTGTCCTCCATCTTGCGCCGCATGTTCTTGATGGCGTGGATGGACGTCTCATAATATGGCTGTGGACGACGGCGGAAGGGGAGCTCCTTCAGCCAGAGGCAGCACGTCTCAAACAGTCTATTAAACACCAGCCGGGCCAGCTTCACAGACTCCATCTCTGACACACACAAACACACACACGCGCGATGAGCCAGGCTGTTCTATTTTAGCTTCATTGCTTCCACTGTTGGTTTGGAGCTCAGTTTATAGAGCTTGCACTTTTGAAAGTATACTCTATCAGAGATGTATCTTTTGAACATCAAACAGTGCGTCTCTAGGTGCCTCTGAAAGCTGTCTGAGAGGTGATCGCTCAGTCTGCAGTAACAATAGCTTCTAATAGTGACACAGAGTACTGGAAAGATAAAGAAAATGTGCATGAATCACTCTTACAGTTTAATCCAGTTTTCTTACCATAGCGAAAGTAAAACAATATTTCGGTTACCCTGAAATGGCACATCTGTAAATCAGTGATCATTTTTGTGACCATTTAAATTTATATGATAGTTATTTATTTCATTTAAGGAAAGGTTTAATGTAGGTTTGCAATAACTGTTTGAGGTACAAAGTACATTTATTTTTTATGTCAATTAGCTGTTCCTCAATGAAATGTCAGGAAAACACAGAAAATCTTCAGCGTAGTTTCCCAGAGTCCAAGGCAACATTTTCAGATGTCTAATCTAAAACTCAAAGACATTCAGTTTACATTTATATATAAACTGCAAAGATTCATGTTTGAGAAATTAGAAAACACCTGGTGTTTTTGCTGTTCAAAAAATAATGAAGGGAGCACTTATCGTCACAATATAACACAACTTCAGGGTTATCAATCTGTCCAGTTAGGAAGCAGAAACCACTCTGAATCCATGTCAGCTACTTTAGTGGAAATCAAAGTGATTAAAGGTGCATTTGAGAAGAAACAACAAGACAAGCCCTAAACGGGGGATGGTTTCGCAGGTGGTGCTTCAGGGCATCGCTCTCTTCTTCTCCTTCCTGACTGATTTTTGCTGGTGCCTTTGTCACTGCTGGCAACAGGGGATGGGACCTGCAGCCCATTCTGGTTATCCAGCTAGACCAGCTTCTCCAGGATTTTAGACAGCATCTGTCTAATGAGCTCAGTATAGACCTGCCAGCTCTGTTTCCTGGTGAAAGCCAGTAGAAGTGCATTTTTCTCATCTATGAGCACAGGCCCCACTCTAGGACGTTGGGACCTCATGCAAGTGAATATTCTGGCCGAGGTCATAATTTACTGGACTTTGGCAGTTTTCCTCCTGTTCTTTCACACATAAAGGAGGAGATCTCAGCCCTTTTGAGCCCTTGTCTTGTTCTCCCACAGCCCATCTCCTTATATCTCCTCCACGCTCTTCACACAGGAAACCTTTTGATCGTGGAGAAGCTGGACTCCCTGTGCAACAGATACCATCTCGTGGTAACAGCAGTGATCAGGACACTGGCAAAAAGCAAAACTGTAGAAAAAAAAGAGCCACAGAGGAGAAGGAGAGAGCAATGATCTGTGGCCACCACCTGCAAAAACACTCCCTTTTTGGAGCTTGTGTTGTTGTTGCCTTTCAGTGCACCTGTCGTCAATTTCATTTGCATCAAAGCTGAAATGGACTCGCAGTGGTTTCTCCTTCCCGACTGGAGAGATTAATATCCCAGACGTTTGTGTGTCATACTATGATGATCAAGTGGTCCCTTAATTCATTTGAGCAGTGCATTAAGTGATTACATAAATGAGCATAAATACATTTTCTGGTAACTGATCAGGATAAGCCATTGCAGGGGTGTGACGTCTGTGTCTGTCACCATATCAATTTATTTTAATTTACCGACTCTGTCTTCAACAAAACCTCAGTAGTTAAGTTCAGTTAAGTTGATAGGGGGGGATTTAATAGCTGAAAATAATTATGTGTTAACATTGTTATCTTGCTACTTCTTTGTTCCCATATTTTCCTCTGGCAGGTTTTGCTCGTACTGGCCAGATGGAGAGGAAAAAAGAAAGTTAATGAGTCGAGTTTCGAACCTTCATGAGGTTGGTCTACATTCAGCTTACAACAAGAGTATTTTCTTTAATGAGTAAGTATTTGAATAAATAAACCTTTTTATTGCTTCATGTGGATCACAGTTCCAATTTATTGGTTGCACCGTTGCCATTTCATCCTTACAGCACAGTTTTCTGGACAAGGTTTAATATTTCTCCAGATAGCAGAAGACAAATCGTCAGTAACATTTACCAAGAACTGCTTTGCGAGATCTAAAAATTAAAGAAACATTGGTCAAATTAAAGTACTTTATCCCTGGGTAGTCCCTGCACATCTTCCTCTCAGAGAGATTTTACAGGGTGAATTAAACTAAAAGGTTCTTGTCTAAATTTTTCTGCTGTGTCAAAAAATACCCAACAATGACATTTGAAAACTCCTCATCCCCCGGAGGAAATTACACCCTTGTGAACAGAGGCACTCCAGGGGCCTGTTTTACTTTGTCAGAAAGGCAAAGTCATTGGCAGATTTCACTCAGGTACACAAGTTAGTGGAACAGAGGCGAGCCTGTAAGCAGAATATGCGCTCGCTGTAATAACCACGTCTGTGCGAGTATGTGAGCGTGACCTACTAATGCTATCTGCTGGTATTATAGTCTATCCTGATTTTTCTCTCTCTTCTCACTGTCACTTTGCTTGAAAAATATGGCATCAGCGAGATGGAGAGCCAGCTGGTGCTGCATCCACTCATCCTCCTTTTTAAAAGTATGTGCACATCAAACCCAATGTCCTGGTAATAAACTGCACTTTGTGAGCCGAATGTTTCACGCTCTCCTCCCGTCTGTCTTGCTCCAAATGGAGATGTTGTAAAGGTCTATTCATAACACCTTGTAAATAGTTGGAGGGGGAAAAAAAAAAGAGAATTGTGGCGTGCAATGAAGCGGCATCAAACAGGATGTGATCGGCTGTTACACAACACAAGACGCACAAGCAGAGAGATGGTGGTGGTGGTGCTGCACTCTGAGCCTCACTACAACTCCAGCAAGAGCAGAACATTTACAACCTTTCTACAGCTCCTGATGCTGGATTCACTGTATGCGCTTCGCCCGCTTAAAGCAGGAGAACTAAAGAGAAACTGGTGTAATGTAATGGAAACAAACCCAGTCTTTATGCTTTTATGGTTTTAGTAAATAATGAGTGTTTTTGGTAATTGGATTGCATTTATATTTTTGTACTTTTTCTATTTAATTTTTTTCAATATTGTATGTCTCAGCTGACGTTCTCTGCTCCTTTATAACTGCTCTGTTGAGAATAAATAAAGCATTTTTGAATTTTAATTTGAAACGTAAAGTTATAATTTCTTGTTCACTGTAAGAAAAAAGCAACATCTCTGACATATGTTAGCAATACTAGATTTTTGTGACTGTTAGCAAATGATTGGCTGCACGACAAATCAAAAATGGTTAAAAATTTGTTTTCAACGAATAAATCATTTTTAATTAACTGATATTTGCACGTGCCGGTGCAATATTCTTAATGTTTCCTACCATGAACCTCTGAATTTACTTCTCCTACAACTTTTAGTATTTTGCAGAAATAGGTCCATTGTTGTGGAATGGATAATGGCTGTCAGTTAATACCTCTGTTTTTTTTTTTTAACATTATCAGATTAGATTTTATTGGAATTTGGTGCTAATAATTCCATAATTAGGCATCTCAGTTTAATATTTAAATATTAAACTGAGATGCCTGTTAACATTTTAAATAATTTGTAATCATAGAGACAATTTCCACAGTGGAAAATGGAAAAAGCTATATTTTAAAGCTATATATAAAACTTATACACACATAAGTTGCTCAGACTGTGAGTAGCAGAGTATCTTTTTGTCTAAATATAAGTAATTATGTTTGAAAATTTTGTGCGATTTTTCATCTCCTTTTTGCACAAATGATTAAAAACCACAATAAGTTACATTAGAACATACACTCAACGGCCAGTTTATTAGGTACGCACTGCTTGTACATTGTTTGATGCTTTATTTCTTTATGCAACAGAGTCAACAAGATGCTGGAAACCACCAGTCTATTCGAGTACAGTGAACTCAGAAACGAGTTTGAGATGATTTAAGCTTTTTTACATGGTGTGTCTTCCTGCTGGAAGCAGTCATCAGACGATGGGTGGACTGTGGTCATAAAGGGATGGACCTGGTGTTTAAATGATGCCCAGTTGGTAGTAAGAAGCCCAAAGTGTGCCAAGAAAATATCCCCCACACAATTACACCACCGCCTGCCTGAAATATTGATACAAAGCAGGATGGAGCTATGCTTTCATATTGTTTATGCCAAAGGACTCCCTTTGAAATGAAACAGTTTTCCTCATTGATTTTTCACAAATCGATCAAAAGGGCTAACAGAGCAACACTTTAGACTGTCAATACTGTACGGATTCCTTTACTTTAGTTCCCAAAGAAGTCATTAAGTTAAAAAACAAGTCAAATGCATCATTTCAATTTATTAAAACAAAAACAAAAACAAAAAAACCCAAAAAGACAGTTGCCTTCAAAAACAGCTGGCAATGTACATGTTAAACAGCAGTTCTTTGGGACTATTTTTGACTAATACATATCTCGTCCTCTGCAAAACATGACAGCTGACAAACTGACAGCCTAATTGCAGTTTGAGCAGATGTTGACTGTTGAAGGTAATTTGTATATCTTTGCATGCTGTGTTTTCTCCAGTATACGGCTTTCATGTAGCTTGAAAGCCATTTTGATGTAAATATGCTGGCCATTGTTGGATTTAGCACATCCTGGCTGACAGCTTTGGGTGTGCTTCGGAGTTTACTTTGTGCCCTCTAGCGGTCAAACACCTCTCCGTGCAACTTTGTGGGGGAGAACTGGGACAAAGCCCTGGTGGTTATATGCCTATGTGCATGTGTGTGGGATGAAGTGAGAGAGAGACCTAATTTGTGCGAGAGAGCGGTCTCGTGGGCTCCCTGGGGACTCACGTGGTAATGGGTCAGCTCCATCTTCTACAGTCTTATTGAGGTGGTGAATAGAGAGGTCAGTCTGCAGGAGACTGTCTGCTGTGGCTCTGGCCAAGGCGGCAGCCAGGGAGCACGGGCAGTTACTGTGGTGAGGAGAGACGACACAGTTAAGAATGGGTCAGAAAGAAAAATCATCTTACATCATCGACTGACAGCATGATCTAGGTTTATTAGGAAATATATTCAAGGATCCACAATACTAACATGCCGGAACAAACAGCATTACTGATGCTTTCTTGGAGCCTTAACACAAACAAGTTTTGGCAGGTATTATTGGCTGGTTTTGGCTCGTCACAGGTGTGGGCATCAGCACAGATACTGCATATCTGATTATAAGGAATAAGAAATGACAGCACACAGATCTCAGAAATATACATCTGTGGTCAGTTTTCTGCTTCAGAGCAATCACATTTTTACATAGCAGTAAAATTATTAAAAGTTAAATTTTTATAATAAGTCATGCCATTCACTTAACAAGGCAAACCCGCACTCTGGCAGGCTGAAAGATGATCTAAAATTGCAGTTCCTCTAGTCACCACTTGAGGCTGGCTCCAAAAACGAGTCAGTCCCGATAGACTCCCATGTTAATGAACGTGTTTGCAGCCTGGTACAAAAAAGGGTTGGGTCTCTATGCACAGTTTCTTCCTTTATATTAACTGTAAGGTAGGCAATTTATTTTTCATCAATTTTCATCCACACATCCATTTGCATACCGGTGAGGCTTAATCTTGGATATGGCTTTCTTGATTGACATATGTGGTGTAACTGCTAGCTATGTGCTAGGCCTCACCTCTACTATTCGGGTTTTTCAGTCATGGATTATCTTCTAGGCACATGATGCAGTAGGGTCAATGAATAAGAGCTCAAACACATAAAATCAGTCGGGGCTCATTTAACAAACACAAGGCTAATCACCAATTTCACAGCAAACACTTGCCAAAGGGTCAGGGAATACAATTTTTTTTTCTCTAGAAACCAGAGGTTGTATCACGTCCAACATGGTGGACCACTCTTGAGAAATATGACATCACATGAAAAACCTAAACAGAATTTATTACATGAGTGATTCTCAAAGTGTGGGGTACCGCCCCCTAATGGACACTGCTGATGAGCTGTACGAGATATTTCACAATAAACAAAACACCTTTAACTTTACACTTTGTAATTCTGTTTGAAATTAACATTAATATTTAAAATATAGGTATAAAATATAAATCAAATATTAAATACAGAAACCATTTCTAAATAATCACAGTTAAACAAAGCCATGGAATTTAAATTACATGTTTTTAGAGCTAAAAAATTCTAAAAAACAAATCACAAATGAGAAATCACTTCATTTTGGTTTGTGTGTGTGTGTGCGAGTGCGTGTGTGTGTGTGTGTGTGTGTGCGTGTGGCTGCAGCATGATTGAATTTAGGCACTCCCTCAATTCTGATATCATGCATGTCATCTGTGGAAAGCCCACGTGCGTATTTGCCTTGAAGGATTTTAAAATTTTATAACACAAAGTTCTGCTTAGTGCAGCAGAATATCACAACATCTGGCCACATCTGCGCACGCTGGAGGAGGTGTGCCTTTTTCTTAAGGTTAACGAGAGCTAGGGAGGGGGGGGGGAGGAGGAGAAGGAGTGGGAGGAAGCAGAGGAGGGTCATTTGAAGGACTGAAGGCTTGCTGTACATGAGTCACCACGATAACTAGGCCACATCCAGATGCAGGTAACCATAGTAACCTAATGTCTGGATAGTCTCCATAGCACTCAAATTAACTTGAAAATATATCTGAACTGAAGTGATGTTAGCTCAATGGCTTTTTAATTAAGGAGCCACAAGCAGTGAAAAACGACTCTTCTGAACTGGACTGATACAATAATCTGATCTGGTCACACCTGAAAATCCTTCAAGCATTCACACAATCTAAAACTTCCGGCAGGTGTGTTGAGAAGCTCTGATTTTGGTTACATGATTTGTTAATGAAGCAGTAATGTTGGTTTTAAAGAAAGCAGAGCATGATCGAACAAAGGTTCAAACCAGGAAACAGCACCTGAGGCTGTGCACTCCTCTGGGGGTGATTCATTAAGTGGGACAACAGATGGGAGGCAGCGAGTGTTCAGAGGTTAATGTGCTGAAAGAGAAACTTACAAACTGAAGTTTTTATGTGTCCAAAAAAATGTCATGCTATATTCTAAACATATTCTAACACCCTATGCTTACATCAACAGAATATACACAGCACACCCAGACTACCAGCTATGTAAGGCTGTAATAAACCAAAGCAATCCTTGTGATTGCTTTGGTTGCTAGCAAGTTGGCATGGTCGCCTTCAGTTTGAATGGATGTCAGTGCCTCGTCTGAAAAAGATAGTGCTCGATCAGCTGTAGTGAGGCTTTCTCGTCAACGTAAAAGTTGTGCCTTACCAATGCAACCAAACATGTTTCAAAAAGCAATAAGTTAGTGTCTTCCATGACCAAAACAATCACAAGGAGGTTTCGGTGCAGCAAACCACTCACCAACTGGTTGGGGAGTACACATTTCTCCCTAGCAATTAGAGGTGCGAGTGAGTTGCTGACTGGTCTCTATACCTATGATTGAGGACACTGGATTATATTAACCTGAAACCTTATCTTTTGCTAAAGTTGACCAAGTAGTTTTGGTACCTCAGCCAAACTCTGCTGCAACTAAAAACTGACAAAGATCACTGAAAAGTGAAAATATTGAATCAAAGTAGGTCTAAAAAACACTAACGACACTTCTTCCCAAAGAGTTGAATCATTTTTTGGGGGGATGCTGTGCATATGTGTGGGTGAATGGAAATGGAGATAAACTAACCCTTTAATAAATTAAAGATTAAATAATATGATTAATAAGTTGCTCGGACACATAAATATGTTTAGTTATCTCAGCAAATTCATCCACTTCTGGATGGAGTGGCCATTCAACTTGCAGTGAACTCAAGAGCATAACAGCTAAGCACTTGAGCTGATCAACCCCAGGACCAAAGACTCTTTGGGAGGCATCTGAAGTGACTGGCTTTGTCTGACAGAAGTGAAACAAAAACAAAAAGTCCAGGGCTGGTTGGTTAACAATGACTTGAACCTTCAAAATAAGAGCGAGGGCACTGTCCACCAGTTAATCCATGGTCCTTCAGATAGATAATTTAAAAAATGTCTTGATGTGGAGAACACTTAACTCAAAGTTTTGTTTTTAGATGTTAGGCAAACCCCAGACTAGTGGGTAAAAAAATCTGTTGCACATCGCTACCACAATGATAACTTGCTGTGGCTGGACATTGTTTGCTATTTAGTTCAGCATGTAGAAAATTGACTAATTCTAATTAGTGCTAAACACAATAGGTTTTGTGTCTGTTTTAGTGCTTAGATTTAAATCTAAAAGCACTTATGGTCAGGTACTTTGTTCAAAACAAAAATATTTCAGCATCACTGGGATTGCCAAAAGCAGTTGCAGAACAACAACAACATCATCTGTACCAGATGTCAGTAGATTTTAGTCTAGACCTCGATCAGCATTTTACAGCTGGGTTGTTCCTACATCTAAAAAATGATGGTGTCCGAAAAGGCATTTTGACCTTTCACCAGAGAAAAATCACCAGCACTATGTTTCTTTTTAATAACCTTTGATTTATTTAAGCTGAAAATATGTTTTTGTTTATAAAATGTCTGCTGTGTAGACTCTTAGCTTTACCTATATCAGCCTTACATATATAATCACTCCCAAAGGCTGATTTTGACCACATCCTGCTTGTGCAATGTGTCATTTTGAACTCTGTTTCTTTGGAGCACAATATATCCATCGTATTTTAACTTCAACAGATATACTGCATAATGTTCCATATTAATTTAAAATGTAGCACTAGGGCAACTGAATACAGATAATCTCTGTTGGACACTTTCAGTACAGTACTCAGTGCACTGCATTTAATTTCCCCCTAATAAATGAGCTGGGCTGGTTGAGTACAACGCAGGGACATATTCTAAAATTAAATACAGTCAGTGTGAAAGGGGCCTCTGTGGCTCATATGTCAAATAGCATGGGTTTAATCAATGAAAACTCAAAGCCAGCGGCAGCCAACCTCAACATTTTTAATTAATTCAGCTGTACTCTTGCTAACAGAAACAGCTAAGTGAGTTAATTTCCATGTACGACTGAAAAGATGTGTGTTTTTACTAGCAAATACCATTAGACGACTCTAACAAAGCGTGGTCTCATCGCAAGACTGACCTCCCAAGCACATCAACAGCATGATCCATTTTACTCGTACCCATGGCAACATGGTGTCCTTTAAAGTAACAAAGCTTTCTTGCGGGATTAATTATGACAATGCAAATTCACAACCAGAGGAGGTCAGGGTGGATGGGTGGGTCCTAAATACATTTGATTTTAAGTAGACGTAGCTTTATTTAAAGTATTTTAATTCATGGACTCAAATGAGCTTTGCACGACTCATAGTTTAAAAAAAGAAAAAGGCACGTCTCCCAGTGGTTCATGGAGCCATGTTTTAGTATTCTGGCCATCGCTGTGGTGTTTTTGTAATAGTGGCTATAAATGAATAAAAATGCTAAGGTATCAGCTGATGCATTCACTGACTGTGCAGGTATGGGGTGTAGATACTTAAACCTGCTGAGTTGGATTGGTGTGAAACAACGCATTAATAAAAGAGTAGAATTTGTCTTGTTGCAAAGGCATTTAGTGCAATTTATCACACAGCAAGCTATTTATTTTTTAGCTAATTTAAAACATAATAAAATCCCAGTGGGTGAGTTTTTTGTTATAAAGGGGCAAAATATCTACTTTTTTGTATGAAGCTGCAGATGTAGTTTTGGACTAACACTCCTCAAGTAGCCACAGGAGCAGCTGCAGTTTTTTGCATTTACTCTGCAGCCACTTTTTTATGATGAGATATTCCCTTGATTATTATTTGTCATCCATCACGTTGGAGCAGTTTATTTATAGATTAGATGAAAACAGTTGCACCTGCACATAAAGTCTTAATTTACATTTCATGTTGCCAACAAGAAGCTCTAATTTGCTTTTTACATTTGCAGTTACAACCTGCTGTTGCCTCTC